TATGGCTACAGCTATTGCAATCTTTATGGGTTATATGGCCATGAATCCACCATGAATCCCCCATTGATCACCCATTGGGTCACCAGACAGCGCAGGACCACCCGGAGGACGGCGAAAGGTCGGTGAAAGCGTCGCGGTCCTCGTCGTCCTCGTCATCGTCCAGCTCCAGCTCGTCCAGCTCGAGCAGCTCGAGGAGAAGCCCACACCGGCGAAGCAGATTTGTACACGTGGGTTCCTTTGAAAAATAGGGTACCAAGAGAATCCAATGGTTTGAAACCTCGTTTTTGCCGCTAAAGTCACTGAAGTATATTTTGTCATGTTCATTCGTATTGATATGTATGTTTTCCCGGACAATTTATAGTTCATATGATATATATATATATTAATTATTTTATGTTTGTTGTGTTAATTGGTCAAATCTGTGAATGTATATAGTTGGTTCATGTTGTTTTCATCCTCGATGGAGCTGTTCTTGATTTTCATTCAATCAGATGGCTACAGTTTTCCGCGACAAAAACAAGAAGACTGATCCCACTTTCCATCGGCACCCAACGGCAAGCCTATTTTGCATCCACATTTGAAATCATTCAACTCAGCATTGTTGGTCATCTATCTTGATAAATATTTGTTGGATTTTGTTGGTCTGCTCCTCCACCAGGATACCCTTCCGCTTTTCCAGAGGAGCAGCAAAAGTGCCAAGGCGGCCTCCAGTGCCACCAAAGATGTGGCGGAACGATCTTACAAAGGTGGTGGGGAGCAGCCGTTGGAGTCGGAGGGGTGAGCCCCTTGAAGAGGCTTTGAATTTGCCACAGCCGAGGTTGAACCATGTTTGATTTTGGATGATTTTGGGGCCGTTTTGGGGGTGTAGTATTATTAGGTTTGCAGCATTGGATAGGAAACCGATTTGATTGTACGTGAGGACTTTGGAGTTGATTCCCTCTTTGAGAGGAAACTGGAAGAGTAGGAATTGAAAATCAAAGCGACATTGGGTGGTTTGATACTTTTGGATTGTTTTCTCATTGAATGTCTTGCATGTGTTGAAGGCGGGCAAACATGAATGAGTCACCATGCAATGCCTATTGTTGGTTGCTGATCTTGACTCTTCAGATGACTCGTCACGTGCGATCCATGTTTTCTTTTTCCCCACCTGTCAGGTGAGGGTTGTTCCCCACCTGCCAGGTGAGGGTTGTTAGATTTTATCAGAGCGCTCTTCCTCCGCGTCCTCGTCCTCCTCCTCCTCCTCGACTAGCTGTCCTCTTCCTCCTCGTCCTCCTCCTCGCCTCCTCCTCCAGTTTCTCCTCGACCATGTCTGCATCAACTTCCACCTGCACTTCCGCCTTGCCAACTCTTCGTCCAGCTCTTTGCCAACTCTCTTCGCCGTCTCTCTGCGCCAAGCTCTTTGCCAACTTCCCAGCTCACTGTGCACCGCTGGACCTCAACCTGGGACCGTTCCAGCTCAGTGTGCACCGCTGGACCTCAACCTGGGATCTGCCCAGCTCAGTGTGCACCACTGGACCTCAACCGGGGGACCTGCCCAGCTCAGTGTGCGCCGCTGGACCTCAAGCTGGGACCTGCCCAGCTCAGTGTGCACCGCTGGACCTCAACCCGGGACCTGCCCAGCTCAGTGTGCACCGCTGGACCTCAACCTGGGACCTGCCCAGCTCAGTGTGCACCGCTGGACCTCAACGGCCAGATAGAATGTCAGAAGATATGCCAGATGGAATGTCAGATAGAATGCCAGAAGATATGCCAGAAGATATGCCAGATCTTAGCATGTTCGTTCGGTACGTTTGGGCGTTCAGAACGCGCGTTTTAAAAACTGGCGTTCCAGAACGTGCGTTCTGAGTGAATCCTTTTTTCCAATGATATAAAGTCAATCTATTTCCGGGGTTTGAACAGAGAAACCCTTTTCCCCCACAAAAAAAAAGGATGTGGAGCTCTTGTGGGCTCAAAGTGGTGTATGAAGCCACCAGAAAGTTGATCTTCCCAACTCCGGATCCTTTTTGGGTGAGGCAAAAAAGGTTCTGGCCTCACCAGGCTTGTGGGGCAAGTTAGGTTTCCTTCCCGGACCCTTTTTTTCTCTGAAAGAAAAAGGTTCTGACCTCTCACAATTTTTATCGTAGTGCTATTAAAACAGGTGTCTAAGAAGACTTTGAACATTTTCTGAAAAATACTATGTGACACAGCGGGTCCTTTTTGCAGGGAGCAAAAAAAGGATTCGGACGCTTCTGGGATCCATAAGGCCACTAAAAACACCCCTGCGTTCGGAACACGCGTTCCGGAACGTACGTTTTGCGTTCTGCGTTTTGGTCGTGCTAAGTGCCAGATAGAATGATTAGATAGAATGCCAGAAGATATGCCAGATAGAATGCCAGAAGGTATGCCAGATAGAATGCCAGATAAAATGTCAAATAGAATGCCAGCAGATATGACAGATAAAGTGCCAGAATGTTTGCCAGATAGAATGCCAGAAGATTTGCCAGATAATATGCCAGAAGATATGCCAGATAGAATGCCAGATAGAAATGCCGGAAGATATGCCAGAAGATATGCCGGAAGATATGCCAGGTAGAATCCCGGAAGATATGCCAGATAGAATGCCAGAAGGTATGCCAGATAAAGTGCCAGAATGTTTGCCCGATAGAATGCCAGAAGATTTGCCAAATAATATGCCAGAAGATATGCCAGATAGAATGCCAGATAGAAATGCCGGAAGATATGCCAGAAGATATGCCAGGTAGAATGCCAGAAGATATGCCAGATAGAATGCCAGAAGGTATGCCAGATAAAGTGCCAGAATGTTTGCCCGATAGAATGCCACAAGATTTGCCAAATAATATGCCAGAAGATATGCCAGATAGAATGCCAGATAGAATGCCAGAAGATATGCCAGAAGATATGCCAGATAGAATGTTAGAAGATATTGCCAGATAGAATGCCAGAAGGTATGCCAGATAGAATGGCAGATAAAATGTCAGATAGAATGCCAGAAGATTTGCCAGTAACAAAATGTATAAATGTCATGGTGGGGATCACACGAAATAAAGTAATTAGATTTTATCACAGTTGTTCTCCTCCTCCTCGGCTAGCTATGCTCCTCCTGCTCCTCCTGCTCCTCCTGCTCCTCCTCCGCCAGCATCTCCTCCACCACCTCTGCCTCCACTTCCACGTCCACTGTTGCCTTTGCCAACTCTTCGCCAAGCTCTTCGCCAACGTCCGAGCTCGGTGTGCACCGCTGGGACCTTCCCAGCTCAGTGGGCACCGCTGGACCTCAACCTGGGACCTGCCCAGCTCAGTGTGCACCGCTGGACCTCAACCTGGGACCTGCCCAGCTCAGTGTGCACCGCTGGACCTCAACCTGGGACCTTCCCAGCTCAGTGCGCACTGCTGGACCTCAACCTGGGACCTGCCCAGCTCAGTGTGCACCGCTGGACCTCAACGGCCAGATAGAATGCCAGAAGGTATGCCAGATAGAATGTCAGATTGAATACCAGAAGATATGCCAGATAAAATGCCATGAGATATGCCAGATAGAATGCCAGAAGATATGCCAGATAAAATGTTAGAAGATATGCCAGATAGAATGCCAGAAGGTATGCCGGAGAGAACGCCAGAAGATTTGCCAGATAGAATGCCAGAAGATATGCCAGATAGAATGCCAGAAGATATGCCAGATAAAATGTTAGAAGATATGCCAGATAGAATGCCAGAAGGTATGCCAGAGAGAATGCCAGATAAGATGTCAGATAGAATGCCAGAAGATATGCCAGATAGAATGCCAGATCGAATGCCAGAAGATATGCCACATAGATTGGTAGAAAGTGTGCCAGAAGATATGCAGGATAGAATGCCAGAAAGAAGATTTGCCAGTCAAATGGACTAGAACATAGGGACAAAGAATGCCAGAAGATAAGCCAGATAGAATACAAGATCATGTGTGTAGAATTTGAGTGGATCGCTCGCTTTGCTGGGTCCTGGGTCAAGCAAGCTCAAGCCAAAGCAAGTTGTCTCGTGGAACGGATGATGTGTTTGAGTAGCCATGCATCATGTGTATGTTAGCAGTTTGTATTGGTAAGCAACAGCTTGCGCAGGTTTTGACTTGCAGCACTTGCATGACAGCAGTTGCATCACAGCAGTTGCATGACAACACTTGTAACTGACATGTGGTCCAGCAGGCATGCATGAGGTGGCTGTTAGAATGCCAGAAGATATGTCAGTAACATCGATAAATGTCATGGTGGGGATCACTCAAAGTAAAGTAATTTTATGATTCGTCGAAAATAGAATGCAGCACAATACAGTCAACAGCATGACACACTTTTCTCTCTCTTTCTCTCTCTTTAACCCTTATGAAATCCTCATAGAATTTCCCACAGGAGGCGTGAACCTTGATAGCCTCATTGGTTCACTGCCAGGCGACCTCTCTGCCTCCGGTGTCCCACATGGCCACGGCACCATGACCTTCAGCCACGGCGCCAAATACCAGGGCCAGTGGCGCGAGGGCCGCTGCCACGGCCGCGGGACGCAATGGAAGGGCGACTATCGATATGAGGGAGACTTCAAGGCACTGGCTCGGGGGTGGGCTGAGGAAAGGGACATAGGAGAGTTTACATTATATAATAATTGTTGTTTAATTAGTAGATTCTTTACTACAACCTTTTTGTTTGACAGTTTGATTCCAGCGACAAGTGTCCATTTTGCTTTATATACTATATATAATATATTTAATAGGTGCAGACGTAGATATAGCTTAGTTACTTACACTGTATATGTACACATGCGCATAAAGAATCATGAAGCTGCAAACTATCCTCGCCCGCAGTGTCAACCCTTGCCTCTCCGGATCCCTTCAGGATGGCAAGCGACATGGTCAGGGTTCCCTCTATTACCATGGACGAGTCTTTGTGGGTGGCTGGTCCGCGTCAAAAATGGCCCTGAGTGAAGTGGGGAATGTGTTACACCAAAAAAACACAGCCCCAATGACTTGCCATGGGTGGTAAGAAATTGACTTGGCACATATTTGTGGTTTGGGTTTACCAGTTTACCACATTTTTTTATGTCTTAGAGGCATCAACGGTTGGAGCTGGTGTATGATTGGAGCCTGTTCCATTGGTGTTTCTTTGGAATCCCATGGCGCCATGGCCTCAGCTGATGTAATTCTAGGTGGCTCGGTTGATCAGTAACCAAGCGGACTCGTCATCCTACCTTTCTGCGACCTCACCGAGATTCTCAATGGGGATTCATAGATCTGGGTAAATTATAACGACCTCACCGCGACCTCACTATAATCAGGAAGGGGAATCATCCCAAAATGGCCTTAATTCAGGGTAGTGAAATATTATAATTTACCCAGATAGATTGCACAGCTTCCTTTGTTGGGGTCACATGTGGAGACCAGACTTGTGGGTCACAGCCTGTTTTGCCTTTTATTTTGTTGGTGACACAAGGGAATTTGTCCCGTTTCGGAAGGGAATTTCACAGAGGGTCCTCAAACATGGAACAATCAGGGCTGAATGGTGAAGATAGCCTGGTAAGGCATTGTTTTGCATGATCCGAAAGCTTTCCTCATGGACAATGGATGACAATGGTATTTTCAAAGGGCAATGGTTTCGATCTGACTTCTACATCCCAGGAGAGTTTGTGAACGACAAGGCGACAGGGCAGGGTGTCAGGGTTTCGAATAATCGAGCATGAAGTGTTTTTTATACTGAAAGGCATCAGGAATTTTGACCAACATTTGGAATGGCACTTAGTTGCGCGAATTCCAAGCACTTGGAATACTCAGAACTCGACCAATTCCTGTGTGCTTCAAACATGTAAGTTGCGCAACAACACTGGATATTATAGTCTTAAGAGTCTTAAATGGAAATTGCAGCGACCAAAAATTGTTCGTGACGACGCAACTGGGAGCTGCTAACCTGCTCAGCCCATCCTTGAATCAACTGAATGGATGTGAGGGACAAGCCCCCAAGTTCCGTTTCGACTTGAGACTTCTACATAGTTTTGACATTTAATACATTGGAAATGATGCATCGTATCATCAATGCATCTGTGCAAATGTGCGTTTGACCACACAATTTCTGTTTTTCTACAGTGTTCGACCCATTTTCATGTTAAGACATTGGTATTCCTTCATACTTCATTTCCATACTTCATAGTAAACCAAATAATATCACCAATTGTAATGTGCTACCTTGACCTAGGTGGGTTCTGGATAGGGTAGGTTTTTTCAAGAGTTATATTGAGAGATTTTGAGTTATAAAGAGTTTTAAAATGAGAAAACATGGGAAAACATGGGAAAATATGAGAAAACATGGGAAAAAGAGAAATTTTGAGAAAAAAAAGTTTTGAATAAGAAGACTTAATCGAACAAGATCACGTCACCCACATGTTTGTTTTCTTTTCAAGTCAACTGTTTGCAGCTACAGTTTTGTTTTGCCACATTTTGTTTGCAGAGACTTTATGTTATTTAAAACTATATATATTCATATGATATCATATGATATGAATGACATGAAAATGAAATATTTGATATCCTCTGGTTGATTATCCCATATGCATATGCAAAATTAACATATCCCCAATACAGACATGGGGAATGGTGACATGTGTCCACAAAATACATACTTACTAGTTACATTGTTTTCCTTACTTATCCACCGTCTTGCCCTTTTGCTGCTCTTGGTTTCTCTTCGTCATGAACTTGATCAACACCTCTTCATCGTGAAGGTCACTGACACAGGTGTTACTGACTTGTCTTGGGCATTGGGATGGGTTCTGTGTCAACTCTCTAGGCTAGTTGCCCACATGTCTGTATTTTAGGGATTCTGTTTTAATTACCTCTCATTCCAGTCATTAATCATTGCAGTTGCCACTCAAAATTGATATCTTGGCTGATCACCGCAGACATCTGTCCCGAGAGTTTTGACTTCGCTGTTTTGTGACCCGGCTGACTCGACATTTGTCGTCATTTGTCGTCATTTGTCGTGATTTGTCATGGCTCGTCCTGGTGAAGTGGAACGCCAAATGGACTCACAGGTGTCCACAGAACTTGTGTTTGAGTACCTGTGTGGGATGGGTGAGGAGGGCACCCAATTCGTTGTTCGCAAGATGGCAAGTGCGAACCCGACTCCTCGAGAAGATCTTCGGGAGTTTTTTGTTTATTATTTATCAGCATTTTATATTTTGAGAGTGGATTTTCAATGTGAAATGTTTCTACTACTTGTGTCTTTCTTTTGGTATCGGTGTTGTTTCTTAATTATTCATGGGGATGCCATTGATGACAATTGTTTGATGGCTAAGGGGGCTACAATTGGCGGTACATTTGTCCAACAACCTCTTGATTGAAGCTGTGGGCCAAATCCACAAGCCGTCACTCGTTTTGAACTTGGGTTCTGTTTATTTTGTTTTATGTTTTGATCAAATAGAATATTGAATTGAAGCAGTTGCGCAATGTTCCTGCATGTTGAATTTAAGTGTTTACACATTATTTGTGAGATATTTGTAAAGTTTCATTCAGTTCAGAAATAACTTGTTATGACTTGAGTTCAGGTCTTGCTGGACAAACTTTTGTCTAAGGCACTATGACCCAGGAGCATTTGCCATCAATGTGGAGGAGGCCAAGCGGCACATTTGTCTGGAGCGACTGACTTGTTGTTCATTCATTTTTGTTTTCTTGAACTCTTCCTTGAAGAGTGTTTGGTATTTATAGTGGGGCATAGGGATCCAAACATGATTCTAAGTAATATAAGTCAGTCACATTTCTGATTCTGCTTTCTGCCCTTAGGACTGCCTTCAACTATCTCGCCTCGAGAGCATTGGACTGGGCAGGGGCGCAGCGCCGACCACAGGGGCGCAGCTTAAGTGCACATGTGTCATGGCTGAACGAGCGCCTCCCATGCCAGACTACAGTTGTCCCGTATCGGGGACAATTGTTTCATGTACAGTTGTCCTACAACCAGGAGCACACGTTTTTGGTACATCAAGGTGCCTTCCCTCAGCAGCAGTATTTTTATTTAGGACACATGACATGTGTGACTGTTTGGTGATACATGACATGTGTGATTGTTTGGTTTTTGGGGTTTTGAGACATGATAAAAAATAGCTTTGATGGAGTTTGATAACTAACTACTGTAAAAGTTGCAGTGGCAGCAATTTCCATGTCTCAGCATGGCCTCCCTGCAGGACAAGTGTCGTTGGAGGCATGGGGGCTCTACTTGAAGCCTGCTGATTTGGATAGAGTTGTCCCTCCTGTTGCACCTGCTCCACCGATCGTGCATATGCGCTGACACATTTGTCCGTACTGAGACATTTGTCCATCATTGACGCTCAGGTCTTCCATTGTCACATTTGACATACTGGGACATCTCCAGTTTGGTTTGATGCTAGTTTTTCAACTTCAAAAACCTGCATTCAAACAAAGTGTCAGATGTCAAGGCTTTTTTGATTTATATCATTTGTCCTGGTCATGTGCGTCATGTGTGGGTCACAGAAAAATCGAATCCTGAGCTGAAAAAAAGGTAGGGGTTCAGTTCTGTCAGAGGTACTGCAATTAGTACAAGTATCACATATGTCTTTGCTGCTTCAATCTGGAGTGCTGTGTTCAAACACTACTGGTAGTTTGTTTCACTCAATTTGGGTTAGTCAAGGGGGGCAGGGCGGAACATCAAATCATCATGAAAGCTTGGCAAGTCATCCAAACCCTTGCATTCCAGTAGTTCCAGTGTACGCATGTGTCTGTCACTAGCCAAGCGTGTGCCAGGTGCTCTGTGGGTGTGTGGAGCAGTGCAGGCCTCAATATTGGGAACGCTCAACTTCACTAGGAGCTGATGCCTTGTTTGACACCAGTTATCATGGTCCTCACTTGTTATACCAACATATTCTTGCAGCACTTGTTATGTCCTGCGTTATCTTTGTGGCCCAGGCGCAGTTCACCACAAATCATTTGCCCCCAGATCATTTGTTACATTTGTCAGCTGTGTCTCATGGCGACAGTTGATCTTCTTTCCAAGGGGGACACGCAGAAGGGTTGGGAAAAGGTGACGGGGACAAGTGTCATGGATGTCCTCAAGTGGCGCACAGGTGAGTACAGATGTCTTGTCAGTGATGCTGAGCCGCTGCCTGTCCCTGGTCTGATGTTCGTCAGTGACAATATTTCATTTTTTCATTTAGCACATGCTGCATCTAAGACAATAATTTTGTTTTTGTGGATGCCCAATGTCGAAACTCATATGTCAGTAGATTCCCCACAATATCATTGTAGAGTTCAATTTGTTTCTGAACTCTTGTCATCAGGATGGACCATGGAATATTACCATCACTATGCGTGGCCCGAACAAATCTGTACAAGTGTTTGGCACTCTTGAGGGCAAGGGTAAGAGGAAGACTTGTCCCTCGTTCCAGTCGCCGTGCAAGTCGCTCAGAAGGTCGAATGCGTTTCTTGAGGAGAAGGGTGCAGATGTGTCAGAGCCAGTGGGGTCTCAGAATTCTCCAGTTCCTGGTGGTCACATGTGTCATGGTGAGTGGGTTACAGATTCCCAGGTTGAGCCACCTGATGATTTCCGTTGTCATGATGGTGATGATGAGATTCCTCAAACTGTACCTCAATATGGTGATGATTGGGATGACACTCAAGTGGTGGAAGATGATTGCGTCTAATGTCCTTTTGTATATTGCACATATGTACTTTGCTATGTGCTGTGACTGTGTCAAATGTCACTGAAAATGGTGATATTTTTGTTAGACACATGTCATGTTGCACCAATGGTGCCAAGTTAATTGTGCCTAGTTTGTCTGTGTGTGGTCGATAGTAGCGACAGACTGTGAGGCATGAGCAATTGTCAGGGGATCAGATGGAGAAAAAAACAGGACGAAGCAAAGACACACTTGTGATTCAATGTTGTTCCGAACTTTTGTCTGAATATGCACTTGATGTCAAGATCTTTCAGCAGTTTTATTTTATATATGTCGCACATGTTTAAGTTCCTGCTGGCCAAGGTGT